AAGACGGAGACCTTCAAAGTAAAACAGGAAACACATAACACAGACTGAACAAAGACACAGACTCATATGCAGGCACTACAAAGGGAACAGAGATGTGGGAACAGGGCAGACACAAAACACTGACTGAGCTGTAATCTACAAACAGCATTCTCACATACGTGTCTCTCTTCTCCAGGTGTGACAGGGCAGTGTGTAGTGTCAGGGCTATGGCATCATCAGTGGACCTGTTGTGGCGGTATGCAAACTGTAGAGGGTCCAGTGAGTCGGGTGGTGCAGAGCAGATGAAGTCCCTGACCAGCTTCTCGAAGCATTTGCTTATGATGGGGGTCAGGGCTACAGGTTGCCAGTCGTTCAATGAGGAGATGGTGGAGGATTTGGGTACAGGGACGATGGTGGCCATTTTGAAGCAGGCTGGGACTACAGACAGAGAGAGGGAAAGGTTGAAGATGTGTGTGAACACTCCAGCCAGCTGAGCCGCGCATGACTTGAGGACGCGGCCGGGAATCCCGTCCGGACCAATAGCTTTGCGTGCGTTCACCTTCCTGAAGCACTTCCGCACATCCTCCTCAGACACAGTGTGCGCACTGACGTCATCCGCGGTGCGCACACTGTCCGGTCTCATGGTGTTCGCCGTGTCGAATCTAGCGTAGAATACGTTTAGATCCTCACACAGAGAGGCCGTGGTCTGCGGTGTGCTGGTTTTCCCTCTAAAGTCTGCGATCGTGTTTAGTCCCTGCCACATACTCCGAGGGTTGTCAAACTGTTGCTCCACCCTGTCCCTGTACTCACATTTGGCTGCTTTGATCGTCTTCCGGAGTTGGTAATGTGTGTGTTTGTAGTCCGATGTGTTCGCGGAGGCAAAGGCGGTGTTCCGTGCTGCGCGAACATCTCCGTTAATCCAGGGTTTTTGATTTGGGAAGGATTTAACTGTTCTGGATGGGACGACATCTTCCACGCATGTCCTGATATATCCGCAGACTGAGTCTGTGTATTCATCAATGTCCCTAGCAGCCACGTGAAGCAGGTGGCTAAGCCCCGGGTGTATAAAGTGTCTGGCTCCACCTCTGCTGTAGATCCTGGTGAGGTGGATCATTGAGTCCACTCATGATGTACTCTGAGCTCTGCCTCTTCATTTAGGTATTTAGTTCCAGTCACATATGTCAGAGTAAGGATTTGAGTATGATGATGTACATTTTGACGGAAGCCAATTAAGCCTAACAGTACTATAATAATTTTACCTGAACTGAGCACACACTCTGGTAAAAACTGAGAAACTATATACAGCGCAGGAAGATCAGATCAGCAGACAGCATCAAACAACCCTGAAAAGTCGTGTTAATGTATGTAAACCACGGAAGAAACATTGCTTTTCACATAAACACTGCAGCACATCTGAGGTTGGATAGCTGCATGCTCACAGCCAACATGCCATCCATCTGTGAAACACAATGCAGGCAGTATCATGGATTGATAAAGCTCTGTGTCTGTCTGAATTACATGTGCTTGCAGTGATTCAAAACTGTATGAAACATGTTCAAAGACAAAAGAATTCCAACAGGACGGATGAATAAGCTCATGTAAGAGTCCTGAGCTACACTGGCAGAAGGCTGACCTATAAATCAAAGAAATATTGATAAAGTGAAATGGTTTGTAGGCCGGAAAAGAGTGGAGTGCCCACTCCGGATCAGGGACGAGACCCTGCCCCAAGTGGAAGAGTTCAAGTATCTCGGGGTCTTGTTCATGAGTGATGGGAGAAGGGAGCGGGAGATCGACAGATGGATTGGTGCAGCAGCTGCAGTGATGCAGACGCTGTACCGGTCTGTTGTGGTGAAGAGAGAGCCAAGTGTAAAAGTGGAGCTCTCAATTTACCGGTCGATCTACGTCCCTACCCTCACCTGTGGTCAAGGGCTGTGGGTAGTGACCAAAAGAACGAGATCACGAATACAAGCGGCGGAAATGAGCTTCCTCCGAAGGACAGCTGGCCTCTCCCTTAGAGATAGGGTGAGAAGTTCGGCCATCCGGGAGGGGCTCCGAGTAGAGCTGCTGCTCCTCCACATCGAAAGGAGCCAGTTGAGGTAGTTTGGGCATCTGACATCCCCTGGCGCCTCATGAGCGAGGTTTTCCGGGCATGTCTCACCGGGAGGAGACCCCGGGGCAGACCCAGGACAGGCTGGAGAGATCATATCTTTCGACTGGCCTGGAAATGCTTTTGTGTTCCCCCGGATAAGCTGGAGGAGGTGGCTGGGGAGAGGGAGGTCTGGGCTTCTCTGCTTGGGCTGCTGCCCCCGTGACCTCGCCCCATATAAGCAGAAGAAAATGGATGGACGGGTTTGTAGGATCAGAGCTAGAGCAGGGGTGGGGTACTCCAGGCCTGGAGGGCTGGTGTCCTACAGGTTTTAGATTTATCCTTGATCCAACACAGCTGATTTAAATGGCTAAATGACCTCCTCAACATGTCTTATGGTTCTCCAGGGAATGAACTCATCATTTGATTCAGGTGTGTTGACCCAGGGTGAGATCTAAAACCTGCAGGACACCGGCCCTTGATGCCTGGAGTTGCCCACCCCTGATTTAGAGTTGATCGACTTTACTGTGTGTTGTCTAATACAGTAGTGTCGACTCTGCCCCTGCTCAGACATACAAGCCTCATTTTGTCTTTCTTCCTCTTCAGGTTATAATGACAGTATTCAGGAGCGTAATGACTTGTGTATGGTGGGCGAATACACTACACAGGACAATGAGCCGATAAAGAAGGTTTGTCAGTTTAAACGAAGTACACTGCGTCAGTGTTCTGGTTTGCCTGACCCCAGCTTTGGGTTCAAGGAGGGGAAACCCTGCATCATAATCAAGCTGAACCGGGTCAGTGAAGCACTTGTTGATTTTAAAAAAGCCAAAAATGACTTGCGTGAATACTAATTAAAAACCTGTCTGCAGGTAATCGGCCTGAAACCAGAAGGAGATCCCTACATCAACTGCACTGCCAAGGTAACCCACAACATGCAAATATCCCATGGTGCACCTGTGAAGCAGAGGAGAAACGTAAAAGGAGAATTCACCACATTTTTAGAAGTGCAAATTAGAAGGTTTCCGTAGTAAATGAAATTACTTTTTCGAACTATTAAATTGAAGAACTGTATATGTGCCTCACTCTCTCGTAGAGAGCGACTTCCTTGCAGATGCAGTACTTTCCGTCTGAGGGTCGTCTGGATAAGATGTTTTTTCCATACTACGGGAAGAAGTCTCACGTGAGTAAATATTGCATGCTGAGTACTTATTCAGAAGTATTTTTATGTAGCAAAAAAAAAAAATCTGATTTATTTCTACTTTTCTATTTATGCAGGAAAATGTCAGAGCAACTTTAAGGTTAACAGATTTCCTCTCACTTTGACAATACTTCTATTTTTGAAGCGTCAAAGTTTACTTAATCTACAAGGAATGAATACAAGAATAGTATTTGATACAGGTTGCTAAGCTTTATTTAAATATTTACCTTTAATTTTAGTTGTAATGCACCAAATCACAACAACCATAAGGAGAGATCATTTGTAGGAACTGACGCTGCCATAGGTCTCGGCTGCTCAGGATTCCCATGATGCATCGAGTTTTTCTTCTTCAGTAACCTTGTGTTTATACATCACTCTGCATTTAATTTTGTTAACCTCTGTCTCTCTTCCACAGCATGTCTTTATCCTGTCTTCCTTCTCTCACCCCAACCAATCACAGCAGATGGCCCCACCCCTCCCTGAGCCTGGTTCTGCTGGAGGTTTCTTCCTGTTAAAAGGGAGTTTTTCCTTCCCACTGTCGCCAAAGTGCTGCTCATAGGGGGTCATATAATTGTTGGGTTTTTCTCTGTATGTATTATTGTACGATCTACTGTACAATATAAAGCACCTTGAGGCGACTGTTGTTGTGATTTGGCGCTATATTGATAAAACTGAATTTAATTAAACTGAACACAATTTATTGTATACAGAATTAAAGCAGGACCCTCAAAGAAAAGAGAACCAATCTTACCATGGCCTAAAGGAGTATGAAACATTTGAGGATTAGCAACATTGCGAAGGCCTGAAATGCCAAGAAAGTCCATACACAGTTATACGAATTGATTTGTCAGTTCTCAGAAGAAATGCCTATAAGAGGCATGAGGAATTCCAATTTGCAGTGAAAAAGCCTGAAATCTAATGGTCCACCATATACAAGCAAAGGTGAGCCCATAAAGGGCAGGAAGTAAACATTCCTTACCAAATAAAGAAACCAGAACCTTACATGGAATGTGCCTGCAGTTTAAGGCAAGGTTTACAAATTTTAAGTACAACAATGACAACTTTTATCACAATCACTCAAACAGAACCCAAGACTGAGCTGAAGGGAGGAATAAAATCTCACGGAGTTAAAATGCATTTCATGAGAAAATTAATTATTTTTTAGTGTCTTGCTGCAAGAGCTGCAAGCTTACAAGGAGGAGGCTGCAGAGGGGTAAGAGGGGTAAATGCAATCATTCTGTTAGAATGACTGCAATTGATCTCTAGATCAACATAAATGACCAGGCTATTGGAATGATGGGGGAGATGGATAAGACTGGGAATTTCAGCTTGGTGACAGGGACTGGCCGATTGAAGGGAGATTGAAATGGGCAGCCATCTGCCGCCACTGGTTGGGGTTGGTGGGAGGAAGACATAACAAATGTCATAACTTAATAATCACCAATGATTAAATGCAGAGTTGTATATAAAAACACAGTGAGTGAAGAAACGATACATCACGGGAAGCCCCTAGCAGCCTAGGCCTATGGCAGCAGACAAAGAGGGGTCTGAAATCTGAAGGCTCTGGCTCCCATCGTACTTGTGGTTCCCAGTGATAGCAAAGTACTGTATTTGGGTGATGCGCTACTGTGAAGTCTTTAAGATGAGATCAGGCTTAATTATTCACGACTGAGCATATGAGAAGGAGTTTAAATTCAATTCTGGATTTAATAGGGAGCCAATGAAGAAAGCCAATCGATATGAATTAACAAACCACTGCAGCACAGTAGGTTTCATACCTAAAGCATGCTCTAATCGTTGTAAGAATGTAAAATACTATGGTAAATTGTATCGAATGCTGCACTGAACTCTAGCAGGACAAGCACACAGTTCACTCCACTGCCAGAGGCAAAAACATCATTTGTAACAGTGACTATACTGTTTCTGTACTGAAAGTTCTGAACCGTGATAGAAACTCAAAGAAAGGGTTTTTGATCAGTTAGCTGTTTCACAAATACTCTGTCAAGAATTTTTGACATAATATAAAGGTTGATGAGCTGGGTGAAGTGATAGATTTTTAATTACTGGCAGCTTTTAGGCCTGCAGTATGTAGCCCATTAATAGAGATGGGATGATCATATTTAAGATTGAAGGATTAACTAATGGTAGGACTTCTTTGTGGAGTCTAAAAAACACGTTGATGGTTTAGAAAAAGTAATTAAAGAAATTCATTCAGAAAGTTATCTTATCTTGTGGTTTGGGAGCGAGTAGCAAATAATATAATTTGGTCTTGTCCTTAATTTATGCAGTAGATGATGAAGTCTTTGTAGGCTGTCTGCAACCTAACCCTCCCAAACTTTCTTTGAGTTCTGATTTACTAAGTACATGGCTTTCTCAGCAGAGGTGGCAGGCGTGCATAGTGTTATTCATGCTCAGTTTTCCAGCTTTATGCCGAAGATTGAAGTTATCCTTTTGGCCAGTTTTCAAGACTGGGTTTGTAAGTTGAAGGTGTTATTTAGCTGAATAATTCTCTCCCATACAGTTCACCACTCAGGAAAACTGGAGCTCAGACTTCTTGGATTGGTCTGCCAGTACAATTAACTACACAACAGCCATATTTTTAGTTGGATAACTTCAATAAAATTGCTGGCAAAGGCTGCAGAAGACTCCTGTTAGATGAGGTTAAGCCAAGAAGATGGCTATGAGCTACAGCTAACAACCTCTCTCTCCGTTTACAGCCTGACTACGTGCAACCGCTTGTTGCAGTCAAGTTATTGTTCACAAAAGAAGACTATAACATCGAGCAGACGGTGGAGTGTAAAGTTGAGGGTTCTAACCTCCGCAATGATGATGAGCGAGACAAATTTCTGGGTCGCGTCACTTTTCGGGTCAAAGTGTCAGAGTAACCAGACATGACAATTGCCATGAACACCACAAACTGGGTTTACACTGGCAATTGGTCTCCAGTTCTGGATACTTTTTAACATGGACCTGATCTTATCTCTGTCTGTTCAGACTCTAAAGAAGTGATCAAATCTGGAGAAGTGGGAGATTTCACTGGTTTTACTGCCTATATCTTTCAGACCTCCTGTTTCAGACATAGTTAACCCCAACAGATGTTTTATTTGCTCCAGATCTGCATTTTATTAAAGAGAAAACCAGAGTAACTGACTGTAGTAGAGTCTGTTCTGACAGCTGGAGCAGATCAGGTCTGCTGTGGGGCGCATGTAAGCCAGCGGCACAATGATGTGTTGTTTTTAAATTTATGTATGTTAGTGATGTAATAAAACAGTAATATTATACCTGCCATGTCTGACAGAGGAGTGCAACACACTGAAATGTAGTTTACATGTGACCTGGTGGTTGGTAATCAGATTACCTACCATCCAACCAGATAATGCAACAGGAACTGCCTTTGAAATATTCATTGTACTGCAGTGAAGAACTGTGACTGTCATTAATTACGTCAAATAATGTTAGATCCCATTTCTTCTGCTTTGTGTTCTGATGCAGTCTACAAAGAGCCCATTTAGTTCCTGTTACCCACTGTATTGAAATTGGCTGCTGTTTATCTAAAGGGTTCACATAAGTTCATTCCCAGGAAATAGGACTGAGTGCCCAAAAGACCAAATTTTGTTAAGATACAAAAAATACAGCATTAAATTTGACTGAAATAAAAAACTTTTCTTCTTCAGTTTTTCACAGTTAAACATGAATAGAAATAACACTGCCTGTCCTGCTGTCATAAACATGGCCAGAAGCTGTCACTGTTTTGTCATAAATCATGTTTGCAGAATTTCTTCAGATTCTTTTTCAGTATAATTTATTAGATATTTGTAAAAAGTTCTCCAGTGTTTATTAAGCATAGAATTTTTTTTTTAGAAATGTGAATAATGTGTAACTGTAATAACTAGTGTTTTGGGACTATAGAAACAGATGAAACCAGCAGAGCTTTTCACCTTCATCACATGTCATTGTTTATATATATATATATATATATATATATACCATTTTTTACAAAATATTCTGAACAAAAGGCACCACTTGAACGTTGTAAAACCATGTTTGTTTCTGGATGATCAAAAACAGGAAACCTAATGACACATACACTGCTGGAAATAAAACGAAGCTCTAACACTTGTCAGTGATTTAGTCTCTTTCTTTTAATATTATTATTATTATTATTATTTATTTTTTTAAGCTCCTATCAGACGTCCCTCTCTTTTTCATATCACTGGCCTTTTATATGGATTGAAGATTTCCTGTCAAAAAAAGCTTGTGCAGATGCAGAAAATGAAGGAACATGCGGTCTCTAAAAATTCATGCTGGATATCCATAATGATATGCACTAGGTAATGAGTTAGGAACAGAAGGATGCACATTGTATGATGAAAATGTATCTACCTACAAATGGCTGAATTTAAAGAAGCCTGAAAGTCAGTGTGGAAAAAAGTATGCATAAAGCTATTCCAGTTTCATGTAAATCCTACTGCTAAGATGAGTGATTGAAAAACAGAAAAACAGCTATTTTTATAGAGCAAAAAATTTAAGATTTCTAAAGGGAACATTTATTTTATTTATTTATTTTTTATTTTATTAGTATTTTCCTCAAATGTGTCAAATATATATTTTCTCATCTAAATGTCCACTGAGCCGTGAGCCAGGGGGCGGTAATGCTCCTTAGCATTGGTTGCCGACCAAGAAGAAGAAGAAGAAGCTGTGAGCCAGGAGAGAGGGGGTGAGTGAGTCAAATGTGCTGTTTGCATGTTAGCTGAGCGATGCTACTGTGAACTGAGGAGCTATTGTCTTGATGTGAGCTTCTACTCAGGGTTTTTTTTTCCCAGTTCAGAGCAGAAATGTTTTTGTTAAGAAACTGGCTGTTGTTTTTTCCACACAATTTCAATTATAAGCTAGATATATTTCTACTAAATAAATTAGTTTTAGCAACAGGAATGAGTCAGTGAATGAGTCAGTTGGGCTTGTGAATCATGATTCACGAGTCAGTAAAGTGATTCTCGAGTATTGAACAACTCGTTCATGATTCGCACATCACTAGCAGCAACGGTATTCAGTAGTTTGCCTGACAATGCTTACCAATGCTTACTTTCCTCATCCCTACGGTCACACGCAGACCGTGACAAATGTCTTCCAATTTCAGCTCCATCATTCAGCGTGTTTTTCCTGTAACTTCTGTGACCCGTGGGGGAGTGTGAGTGAGCGCTATGTGTGTGTT